AATTTATATCTGTGGTTATAGATTTCTGTCGAGATTTTATATCCAACATTCTGCGATGGACTCTGCTAGAACCAGCCCACACTCGTAGTGGATTCGAATGATTCTCGGGAGGACAGTAATGTTCTAAGGTTTTAAATACTATAAGTCTTTAGGTGCAAAGCGATATTAATAGTAATAACAATAGCAACAATATACGCATGTCAGTTTTGCCAAATCCGTTTCCGGCCATCAGTGTTTGAAGCAGTGTGATTCACATTAACGCTTTGCCCATTCTTACAGTTTTAGAGAAATATATAATATTGTGTAGACGGACCAAAAGAAACTGAGGAACGGAGAAGGGACAGAGATACAGCTATACAGAGACAGTGTGGGACAGGGACAGAGAGAGTCGGACGCGTTGACCCAACGACACTATATTATTACAGACACAGCCATTGTGTGCTCGCGAACGAAATCCGTTTCGGAGTTTAATACTCTGCGAACCATAGTGGAAAGCGATTCGAAGAACTAACGCGAATATTGGCTTTTCGAAACGTAGTTCAAGTGCGAAATTGGCGATTTTCCGACCGCAGCCGCAGACGAATCCCGCTGGCCGCACATTGGGTTCTTTGATCCGCGTGGCCAACGCGTTGACCACATTGTTTGAGTTTTCGGAAATATCAAAAATATAAGGCATCTATAAATAAAGAAAGTCGTTTAAAAATATCATAAATAGGATACAATATATAAATTGTACTATATTTGTGTATAAAATACAGGATGATTCAATAAATATGTTTTCCTTTAATAATGAATTTATTAACTATATTTTAAAATACTCAGATTTTTTATTCGATTTATGTGTCATGTGGAAAAATAATATTTTTTTCAAACGAAAATCATCTTTTTTATTATATAATTTTAACAATAAGATGAATTTTTTTGAAAATGTTGATATAGGTAGGACAGGTAGGTACTTCCATTGAAATTCNTAACTATATTTTAAAATACTCAGATTTTTTATTCGATTTATGTGTCATGTGGAAAAATAATATTTTTTTCAAACGAAAATCATCTTTTTTATTGTATAATTTTAACAATAAGATGAATTTTTTTGAAAATGTTGATATAGGTAGGTACTTCCATTGAAATTCTATCAAGTAGATAAACTTTAAGTATCGAGCATAAGAGTCTATGATTAAGGGATTAGAAGATAAGGGGACTAAGATAATTTTAAAATTATTCTAATTTATACTAATTTATTAAAATTGTATAATTTATAAAGATTTCCTGAGTAGGTATATTAAAAAAATCTTACTTAGATTAATTTAAAAAAAAGTTAATTTTGAATATAATAATTATAATAATACAAAAATAAATACAATATACGATAAACATATGAAGATGACATCCACCACGAAAGTTATAAGTTACAACCCACATCAAAATAACAGTACATAGCATGCATGAACTTTTAAAGTTTGAAATGTAGCTAAATGTATTAAGTTCAAGAACAAATTATAAACTAGTTGTACTTTTATTACCCAAGGATATATTATTTATACTTATTTTAATCGGTTTTTGTTAATTAATTTTTTTGTCAATAATGAAGAATAACTGATATAATTTATTGCCTTATTGGTTATATTAGCCACTATACATGTTTTAATTTTGTATACAAATGTTTATTTGTTAATTTATTTTTATTGTATATTGGTACCCAATCATAAATATTTTCCAAGTTTCTCAATATCAGATGCTACATCATAATAGCTAATTAATTAAAATCTTCCGAGTTTCATGTACCTACGAATGTTGTTTAATGGGTTTTTAATGGTGATTGTTCGCCAATATGAACACTTGTTTGAGCTATATAAACATAAATATATTATGTATGTATTCAATAAAAAAAATAGGTAACTTTAGTATAAGACATTGAGGTACGGCTCACTTTAGGAGTTTTTCTTAGGACGTCAGTACTTGGGTCGGATTTTAGGGTTCTATATTTTTCATATCGCAAATTTTCAACTACTTAAGAAATATAGAATACTGTATTTATGATAATTTTGATTAAGGTTATAGGTTTGATAGTTTCTTTAAATTTGTTCGATTATTATTCACGAAAATCGCAGTGCAAGTGAAGCTTTCGGATGTCTATATAAAATAATAATGAGCCACAAAAATATTTTTCGATTGGTGAATGCGGTATTAACGTCGAATAATTTTAAACAATATCTTATCTCAGAATGAATTTAGCAAGTTTTAATTGCGACCAGTCTCCCCTTTGATGAGAGGGCAAGTAGATGTGGTCACCACGTAATTTTGTACCGCAAATTCTAGCCAAAATATCGGAAACTTCTGACAAGTGGAACTGTGGAACACAGTTGTAATATTAAAGGTAGATTTCTGAGTTAACCATAAAATACATCAGATGAATAGATATAGATCAAACACCAAGTAAATAATTAGTTTTTTTAGATAAAATAAATTGAATGACATATTATATTATAATACGATTAGATACGTATTAGATGACATATTATAAAAGATACATACATGTACTTGTCTATAAAACATGTTGGATGAAAAAATAAATAAAAGATATAAAAACAATAATCAGTGTCTCCAATTTTCTAATAGTAATTATGCAACGCAACAGAGAAATAAAAATGGTATCCTATACTAAAATGTTTTTAACTAGTTGGTTATTGAAAAAATGAAAATTTGTAACATGTGATGGTTATTTTGTTTATTTTGTCTGGTTTTACGATAATACCATATTGTTGTGACGTGAGGTTCTGTCAGTGGTCTAGATATTAGTTGTGTGGTGAAGTGGTTTAATTAACTTAAGACAATTTCCAAAAGTTCAAATAAAATAGCTATATAACTATATAAGAACACAAGTTAAAAATGTAATTATACAAGTCGTGTGGCACGAGGGTGCTTAGGACTCAAAGGCTATACATCTAAAAATGCTGTACTGCGGACACCCTTATAAATGGTGTTTCCCGTTGTTGTTATTGTAAGTCCGAAAAGTTAGAACGTATTTTGTATTAGAGAGGCTCTTTAATTTTACATAATATATAATACTCTAGAGCCACACTATTTAAAAAATATAGCTATTCATTTCATTAGAAAAAATTAAGTTTCAATGTTAACTTCCATTATATTTTATAACAATTAGTATCAACTAACGATATTAAAGGTTTTCTAAAATGTTAATTTATTTAACGATTATAATAGTTTTGTTTCAGTTTAACATACTGCACCAGGCTGGCCCAAGACAATGATTTTGATTTTTACTTGTCTTCCTGTGTTCACAATGGAAACTTAAGAGTTAAGAGTTCTGTTAAATTTGTTAAATATTAATACCCAAAATTCCAGAGGCTTTTCAAACCGATCAATACTTTAATTCACTAAAGGCTACATAGTTTGCATACTGTGGTAAGTGTTTACTATATAGTCTTTGAATTATTACATATATTTTAATATATATAGTAAATATGATTATTAGTTTATAGTTATTATTACTTATTAATTATTAATACTTTATAATTAATTTGATATTTATTTTAAGTACGCTCAACGGGATATGAATTGCATGATAAACAATTAGTAACATGCCCTTATTTTATATTTTATTACATAACCAATTTAATATCATCAAGTAAAATTAAAATATAATATACTACTTTTGCATGATGATAAAGTTTTAAACATTTATGAAAATTCTAAATATGTGAAAATTAGGTGGGGTAAGAGAATTTCATTTAACATAGAAACTAATAAATGTCAATTAAAATGTTATACATTTTATATTTATGATTATATTTTATTTTAAAAATGTATTAAATAAATATATTAATACTATATACGATGAGAAACGTATTGAATACAAGTTATCGGTTTCAGAGAAAAATTCTTTAGAAAATATTTTGCATCATCTTCAATAAAGAAAGTTATTCTAAGAATTCTCTGTGAAAATATACTATCATCTTAAATTTTTGTATTAAAATAAGACCAACTAACAAAGGAATTTTTTTAAAGTTTGGATCGATAATTTTTTACTTCTATTAATTAAATATTTGTTTAAATACGTTTATAATTGATGCTTTCTATGAAAATACTTTCAAAAGGACGGCATTGAAATGAAAAAAAAAGATATTGAATAATGATTTTCAATATATTATAGTCGCAAAGGGGATGGCAAAAAATGTGTGTATTTTTATACAACAGGATTTAAATTTTGGGAAAAATAAAAGAATTGGGTTGAAAGTAACCAAGACAAATCACACGAAAACGTGATCGTTTCACTTGTAATGTTCTAGACCACATGTCATTCTATACCACTAAACTACAAAACAATGTGGTTTTTATTGCATTTTTTTTTTATACTCTTGAGTTTCATTATGTGAGTAACATGACGTTTCATTCTTTTTAGATAAAACGAAAAAAAAAGAAAAGAAAAAATATATATCCCCCTCGTTCACCAAAAGTAGGCGTATAAAAGCCATCAACTTTCGGACAGCCATAAGCTTCTTGGGTGTGTTATTAAATTGTTTTTTCCTAGCGTATCTCAATTTATTGTTTTGTTCCGTAGACGAAAAGGAGATGAGGAACAATAAGAAATGATATTTTTTTACGGTCTTCAATAAAGACTGTGATTGTTATACGGCACATTTGGCACAAAACTCACCCCTCCGATAAATAACGGAACATATTTTACGAGTGAAACAAGGCAACGGAATATATACAAAATTCGAAGTATAAAATTGTTTTATTTTTTATTTTTACTCTGACAGGTATGCGGTAAACGATATTATTTATAGAGTTTCGAAAATAGCATTAGCCTTAGCAGTTTCTTGAAAAAAAACAAATAAATAATGCAGCATTTCCTATGTAAACAATATTAGTAACAATTGTGGTCTGCTCGCAAATTTGTGATTATATAATAAGGACAGAGGTGATGGGTTTACCTAGAGTATATTATAGTTTAAAAGTAGAAAAATATTGTTACTCACAGGTTGTAATGTACGTCAGCCATGTTGGGCCGGTGTTTGAGTGCCGATCGGTATGCCATTTCTGCTTCGTTTGTTCTGCCTTGAGAGCTGAGTATCGAACCAAGATTGCCATAGGCTAAAATTTAATCAAGATTCGAGATGAGAATTAGGGTGAGAGAGAAAATGAGAGAGAAAGTGTGTGTGTATGTGTGTGTGCGCGAAAGAGAGGGAGAAATAGTGACGATGAAAAAGAGGGGAAAAGAACGGAAGCGATCAGTGGAACCTATTCCGTTTGATTGAATTAAAACAGGCGCGCGCTGCCGGATCGAAGGATTGTAGCCCGTGGATTGATAGGTATGGTCTGGCAGCCTGAGAGGCTATAAGTGGAAAGGGGCACAAAATTAAAAACACTAAGAAGTTTATTAGACGGTGTACGTACAGTGTTCGTCTAACAGAACGTATTTTTTCTGAGAATTCCGGCACTTACATTGTAAAAACTAAAAACTGCGTAACAGAAAGTATTTACATATATATATTATATACATACAATATACAATATACATATTATATAAATATAAAACATGTAAAATATTGTCTAGTTGTCTTACAGCGGGACAGCACACTGTAATATCTCAAAACGTATCCCTACGTATAATACGTAATGTTTTTCGTCTGACAGTGATCATAAATACCATAAACCGCATGGACTTATTTTTCAAACAAATGTATGTAGATAATATATAATATTATTACTGTAGGTAAAACCTGGATTTACTATTTTGTATGATATTATGTTCTCTTGACCAGTCTTATAAAGCTATTCTGTAAGAGTACTTAAATAAAGAATTAAAATACTTTATAAGTACTATGTATATATATATTATTATGTCCAATACTCAAATGCGTATTTTCAATACTTTTTCAAAATGTTTGTATTTAAAATGGATTTTTTCCTTATTTAGTGCCTTATTAATATTTTCATTAAAAAAAAAAAAAATAATAAATATGATAAAATATTATAATATACTATAATAATATATATTTTAAAGGGATATGTTCGAATAAGTCATAATATATTATGTTTATAATAGTATAATAAACATTTCCAGAAGGTTTGTTTTTACTTATACTTAGTTTCAAATTTATAGCTGATAATCGTTAAAGAGGCGCAAATCTTCCATTTAAAATAACGGTAAACCGAAAATATACTAAAATTAAGTACTATAGTCCATCGATGTTATTGTACAATTAAAAATAACTTTCAAGATAAAAACATTAATTCTAAAATGCTACATTTCTAAATACGGTCGAAATATTTTTTTGATGTGCGACTTATAAACAACTGAAGTTTTAAAAAAGGAAAACTGATAGGTAATTTATTGTTATACTTGCAAATCGCCCAATATCGAATATACAACGCTAAATACAATTGATGAATAGATACCAAGAAAATAACCAAAAAACTAAGTTTAACATTGGTTTTTATTTATAAAAGAATTCCATTCACACATTTGAAAGTGTTTGTTTCAATATATTATACGTATTCGTATCGTTTTAATGCTTTTTTAACTGTGTATTAAAATACGTATTTCGATTACTTTTTAAAAATTAACTCTTAAAAGACTGCCCTAAAAAATACATGTGAGTATAAAGTCAATAGATACTGGATGGATATGTTTACTGTTGTTATTAAACTTACAGTGGAGAACGCATGGTGGGAAGTATACAACTGCAACAGCGATTAAACAAGAACAACACGTTATCAAATTGTTTTTGTTTTCACACAGAAAACCTAAAAAGCGTATACGATCAACGTTCGAGGTTTTTTCATAGAGATAATCTACATTATTATAATAACTTGGTAGTTGGGACGGAGAAGAAGTCGTAGGTACAATTTAAGATAAGGAATTTCGGGAGGAAAACTCTTTTAATGAGTTTTTGAAAAGTGTACATTACTGAAGAATATATTTTATATTGTTTTAGAAGAAAATATATTATTTTATGGCACACTGTATTGTGTATATGAATTGGAATACACTTAATGACTAATTGCAATTTCTTGAAAACCTATGGTTTTTCGTCGAATAACTTTTCTCCGAGTTGCGTAAAATTACAAATGTAAATCTAAGTTGCGGTACGTGTTCTTTCGAAATGTGAGCATTAATTTAAACACATCTGTATACAATACATACATACATTTTATAATGTATATATATGTATATATATATAAATATGTGTTAGGTATACGAAAACTATATATTATTATTGTTGTAGCACACAGTATCGGATGACTTTATATAGTGTTATTACTAGATGGATTAAATACGGCTCTGTTGTAATATCGAAAGTTGTATTGCTTTAGCTTTTAAGTCTTCTAGAAATATGTCATTAAACTTTTCGTAAGACAATAGTTATCCAAACGTTTAATTTGATTAAAAAATACTGGTGAAATGAAAAAAATAAAAAAATTTATAATTCATAAATCATAATTAGACGAACCGTGTAACATGTTAAAGTTTTATATTTTTGTTACCTGCAGCAGGCACGATACAGACTTTGAAGCCTTTGAAGCAAAAATTCTACACCTGATTTGTTAGACGGTTTGTGGTCATGTGGACAATTTATGACCATATGGAATACTGCGACAATAAAATAATAAAATAATAAAATTCGGGGTTATTATTCAAAATTAATCATCCTATGTGCTTTGCACCTGGCTTCCTAGGTCATCTGATCTTACGCCATGTGATAACCTTTTTTAGGGTATTATATGTATTCAACATACTGTACGTACCACCACTAAAAAATTAAAGGAGTTAATGGAAACATTTTTAGTTACGACTATAGATGTTATTTGTGTGTCCACGACAAGCCAAATAGAACATATTTTGTTCAACAAATTTGAAATATCATTATATTAATTAGGTAGGTTAAGTATCGCCTATTATATTAGGTATAAGTACTCTAAACCTAAAAACTAAAAATATTCAAGCATTTGGAATCGAAAGAATCACTTTGAAATAACCACGTTTAATAATTTATAATTGGACTCGAAGATTATTCAAAAAGGTCACACGCGTCTACTTACATTTTGGCGGGTTGACTTGGATGCCGGACCGGTAGAGGGACTCTTCGTCGCGCCAGTCGCGGTTCCTGAGCACTGTCCGCAGACCGTAGGTGGCCACCGTGGCAGCGTATAGGGCGTACACAATGGCCGACCGGCGTCCACTGGTGGCCTTGGCCAGCGCGGTGGCCGAGCACCCGACTAGCAAGCAGTAACCGACACTCGGTATGTACAGCACGCGCTCGGCCACCACGAAACCGACGTAGAACAGGGCGTTGGATGCGGGCACGTACGAGGCGACGGACACGGCGGCGGCCACGGCCACGGCGGCCCGTTTCCGCCGGACGGAAGCTCGGGCGACGGCCGCCAGAGCCGCGTAGAACAGCACCGTGGCCACGTTTCGGGGGTCGGCCGCCGACTCGATCCGCGGCACAGCGTCCATCGACCAATCGTAGCTGAGCACTTGCGGCCACACCAGCAGCCGGGCGCTGACCACGGGCAAGTGCAAGAACGTCAGCGCCCTAACAGTTGGGTCCGGGTGCTTGGCCGCTGGGTTGTCTGAAGCCGCGAATGACGGCACCGTGCCCGACATGACGCACAGCCGGCCGGCCACCATAACCGCGGTGCTGGTAACCAACACTTTCAGAGTTCTCTTGTAGTCCTGGTAAACAGTTACCTGCAACAATCCAACGAGAAAAACGAGTTGTGATAATGTTGTATGAAAAAATAGATAATAATTTTCAGATATGCTGGGCAGGTACCTAACGGTCGGACTAAGTTTGTTAGGTTAGGAGGAAGATAAAAAAAAAGAAGGAAAATATAGTAGCTATTTTATTAGTTTACAGAATTGAATAGTATTGCAGCTTTTTTAAGTATTTCATTAGGTATTCAATTAAAAACACTATTTTTATGTAGTTTTCAGTTTATACTTCTAGCTCTTTATGATAAACATGCCCATACAATTTGCAAAATTAGATTAATTAATATATAAATGTAATTAAAACAACTATTATGATGATACTCTTTATAATAGTAATTATAGTGATATCAGATAATATGATTAACATTTTTATCAACGTGTCAGTTTTATGTCATGTTACTTTTTTAATGAGTTTGATGTTCATTAATGTATGGCATTATAGTATATTACACTATTGTCGCCGTAATTTGTTTGGTATTTATTTGAAACACCACCATTATTACAAGCTATTAGACAAATCGGTAATAAACAATATTACAAAGTACAAAATACATAATATGCTTAAATTGAACACCATCCCTATTGCAGTATTGCGACGTGTATTATATACTTATATAACGATTTTATTTATCACGACGATCACAAAAATAGTAATATATTTAAATAATTCGTCATAATATAAATATATATTAAGAGGATTCCATAATATTTCAATACCGGGCCAATTAAGTTTAAATCGTTGCATGTAAAATATTATTAACTCATTCGTTTCTCTAAAAACTGTTTAAAATGAGAAAACAATAAAAATAAAACGTCCAATGCTATAAATCATAATAATATAAACATATAGGACATAGGTACACGTAGGTGTTAGGAGTAATAATATACCATTATACAAAATATTATAACTGTCATTTTTGACATAGAGCTTCTATTATCATACCATTTAAATATTGCACGTGTCATCGATCTGTATACCCTAAAGAAACATACAATATTATTCAATTTGAGCTTAATATATTACAATGTCCTACGAACGGTTGTAACTTTTAATATTGCATGTATAACGAAGGTTAAATTCGAAATAACATACGTTTGGGGCTGAATGAAAACATCTTACTTAAATTGCAAGAGCTACTTAATATTACTATATTGTCGAAAAGAAATGAAAACATGTGGGATATGAAAATAAAAATTTAAATTACCTATCTATATGACTTGAGAGTCTTATATGATAAAGGCTTTCAACAATTCGATGTTTAATTTTATAAAATATTTCAATGCGTTTGTCGACGACAGCGAATGAATAGTTATCGTTTTAAAAGGTTGACACATTTCGGAACCTTGAGGCAGAAAATATTTAGTAGGTAGCAAGACATCGAAATTAAAGATATTTTAATTAAGATACAATCTTAGTACCTGTATATATAACCAGGCCACCATCCAGCTATAATGCCCATGGACAGAATGAAATGTGTTTGTATCTTGTTTTGAACTCTTGTTCTCAAAACTTTTGAAAATTCTCCATACATTTAGATGAAAGAATAGTATACATGTACACACACACACACAAACACACACCCAAATGTACAAAATGTATTTAGATAATCTATTGCACGAGTGAATAAATCATTTAAATGATTTGTTTGACGATAAAGGTTCGTCGAATATCAACAGAGTAAGTTGTGTCAGTGTGAGTGGTAGATAAACTTTATGTTAAGTTGCAGTGCCAGTGCGTAGCAAGCAAACTAACAAGTACAGAGAAAATCAAACATATTCTTCCTTATACTCACAAAAAAATACATTAACGACGTGGCAACGACGAATTTTAGATCACACAATATGATCCGATTGTATTAATTTACACCCGTACATAATTATACATTATTGTCAAAATAATTAATCTTCAGCAGAGTGCAATTAAAAAAAATATACTATAAAGACGATGTAGTCTTTGATATAGGTACCTGATACAACACTTGTATAGTGAATATACGAAGGTACTCAACTGCTCATTTTTTCCCTCTCGCCTGTTGGTGCAATGTAATCATACATATTATATGCTTTCGACTACTCTCGTGTTCGGTAATTATATATTAGTATTAAGCTTATAAGAAAAAAATTGGATTGAAAAAAATTCGAGTAACCGCAAAAGAGGGGGAGGATGTGCGTGAGAGAGAGCGAGAGAGAGTGTAAGAGCTCTTACTGTGTAGTATATATATTATTATCCTAATAGGAGGTGCTCATCGTCGAGTGCATTTCTAGCTATAATGTCCATTAAGGACTGCGTCGTCTTTTGCAATGCGGTGATGACTAATGGCACGCCTTTTATCCGCACTTGCGATCGTCTTTATGACGTATCACCGTAATGCGTTTTACCGGATTGTCAGCTCGATCTGAGTGAAAACGCACCACACACACTCACGTGGTCGTTCATACGAGATTCCAAAAAAAAACGTTTCAATATTACGCGGCTTGGGCGTTGACGCTCTGTGCAATTCGACAGTTATATTCACATGATATTATAGTTTAGAAATGTATAATATATATATATATAACCCCCAGATATATAAAACATATATACTATATACACGTATAAGTTAACATATCAAAGTAATGTTCAATAAAAAAATTCCTCAAAATGGTCCTAGAAATGAGTTAATAAATGACACGTATAATACATCAAGTATATATGATATCATATAATGTGTCTGGGAAATATAGTTTAATAGTAGATATATATATATATAATATACGTATAGATAATAATTTAAAGTATTATATTTTTTATTATTATATATCGTAAAAAGTCACTTATAATTGTATATCCGTTGATATTATAACATGCTTGTATAAATAATATAATGAATACCTTTTTATTTATTTTTAAAGTGTAATTTGCATTTTGTTTATATGTATAATAATAATATCTATAATGATATAATGTGAAAAATGTGAAGTGTTTTTCCACTACGTACTCGTTATAAACTTTTATACGATCTAAACGTATTTGTTGATTTGGATTATTTTTGAAATATGCTCCAAAGTTTTAAACAATAATAATATCATGTGTGTGTGTTTGTGTGTGAACGGGTATAGAGTATAAAAACAAAAAAAACAAAAATAATACCGATATTTCAACTAAAATAATAATATAGTCACTGCAATTTTATTCGCGCAATAGAAGTCCAAGTATATATTTTTATATACTTATATATAGAAATATAGAAACTGTTGTATACGTCAAAAGCAGCTTTATCACATAATATATATGCCATGAAATACGATAAAATATCTTCTTACCCCGGTCAATGTCAGCAGTGTAATAATATAAAAAAAAACACTCATGGTTATACTTAGTCATTCGAGCGTATACATAAGCTGGACCCCACTTAAAATTTCATCTGCCAGAACTGTAAAGTTAAACCGTAGAATCTAGGCCTTTAAAAAAAAAAACGTCGATATAGCTTTCAAATGTGTTGACGTACTTCTATTAAACACCAATTAAAACCGAATTGTCTTTGAATAAATTAGAGACATTACAATACAATATAATATTATTATGTACACGACACACTATACACATATATGGGCTGTCTTCAATGATTATAAAGTCGCAAGCGAATACATACAACAACTGAATAATAAAAGGTTTGACAATAATTATTATACACACATAGTTTATCACATAGGTGAAACTGTATATTATTATAATTTTGTCTCGGCGTTTTCCACAATATTTTTCTCGTTTATTTGTGTGGCCCCGAGCGGGTCGACGCGTCAAACCGTGGTGGCCCTCTGATCTACCTATTATAGTATAACGGACCTATAATTACAGAGGCATAGCTGCTGTTATATTGTTTTGTATCGTGCTCGATTTTCGAAAATAATATCATATTAAAATATGTCACGATGACGGTGTATTATATAATATTTTAATCGAAACATCAAAAGGGACCACTACCCGTATATATTGTAAACATTATATGATATCACACAGATCATAAGCGTCCGGGTTAAGTGCAAGTACGTGTTTGCATTTATTATGGTTCTAGGGCAATATGTCCATAATGTCCTATATATGTTGATGGAAAATGTGTATCATGGACGTATCTATTTGTCTATGCAAGGATATTTCATGTACTTATATAATACACAGAAATATTGTAATATAAATATATAATGCATTAATGTTGTTATATTATTACTAACTACTACTGTATACACTGTATATTATATAGTGTATAGTTATATTAAGTGTGTATAGATTTCCACACATATTTACGGAGACCCAATAGGTATCGACTAAATTGTGTAGGTACTGCGCAGCGATGAGGATAAACTATGTGTATATATATACTCGTTTATGCATACAATTTAGTTTCGAAAGGGTTTAGTTGAAGTTTTTTTTGTCTTATATTTATTATGGGAATGACATCGAGCTTAATCGAAAAAGTTAAAATTGATTTCGATACCTTATAAGTTATAACAAGGAAAACTCAACAGTTTAATATGGTGATCATATGTATCGAAAAATTAGACAAAAATAAACACGAGATCCGCGATCGATATCTTAAAAACAATCTGACATAATATTTTGCATCTGTTTAGCTAAAAGTACACATAAACATATATTAATGCAGTATAAGTGTTACTGCGTACACGCGTATATTTACACAAGAGCTATAATATCACTCAACAGTCAACACTCTCTTTTATAATAATATGCAATACGTTTTTCAACTTTGCTGAAATCTCCTATTTTATATGAAATGAAAAAAAAGTTCATTTGAAATAGGCAATGGTAATATATTTTTTTATAACTCAAACACTGTAAATATTATATTGTTATGTGCCATTTAATATTAAAAACCGAATGGCTACTTCCATTAAATTCTTTAGTTACTTTTGGTGCCTGCGCAAAAGTATGGTAATTTTGATATTATCTTTTATTTCAACAACAGATGAACATATTG